CCCCAAAACCCCAAAACCCCAAAACCCCAAAACCCCACTTTCGAATAAAAATATTGAATTTGAAATATTTAAATGCAAACCATCAGGACTAAGAGTTTGGCCAAGAGCAAGAGAGGCCACGGGTGCAAGAGAGGTAGTATCAAGGCATCCAATGGGTTTAAGAACCCTCTCTCCACATCTACAATAATTAACGGCTATTTACCTTTCAAAAGCAACAGATCAAGAAGCAATCGGAAATGGAGTAAGAAAAAGAAGAAGGATTATAAGAAGGCACATATCTGGAATAAGATTGGAGGTGATTATAGCCTCTGTAGTAACTTTAGTAATTATCCTCTCCCTCAGAGTAGTTGTGGGAGCGTCAACCATTCTTTTCTGAACACTTCTAACCAGATTGATGCCTCGATTGCTACTACTTATCTAACAAATATGAAGCCAGGAAGGTCTTTTTCTCAAAAAAGGATTCCAGAGAAGCAAATCAAGAGAATGATGAACTCTTTGGAGGTTTCCAAGGCAAGTTCTCAGGCTAAACTTAAGGTCAATCCTGAGGTTGCCCGGAAATCCAACACTCTTCTCGAGAAGGGTAAGGAATTTTTGAACCTGAAGAATTATGATGATGCTCTCAAGTTCTTAACAAAAGCTTTGAAAGTAAATGAGCATAACTATGATGCGATGTTTTTCAAGGGCGTTACCTACCTTGACAGTGGTAACCCATCAAAGGCTATTAAGGAGCTCACAATGATCATTGAAAATGTGCCTAACTTTAAGAACACGGTCTACTTAGTATTATCAACATGCTACATGAGGAACAATGATACCGTATCAGCTCTGATGATTTTGAATAAGGCGATTCAGAAGTACCCAAAATTTGTGGAAGCATATGTAGCTAGAGGCCAGGTCTACACCCTGCTGAACATAAATGACAACAATAATTTATCACTAGGACAGATCTATGAGAGGATTATTACTGATTACCAATCTGTAATAAACCTGCTGCCTAATAAAGGCCTTGGATACATTGGCAAAGGAGATGCACTTAAAGGCCTTGGAGATTATTCAGCTGCCCTTAAGTGATATTCTAAGGCTATCCAGCTGGATGAGAGAGAAATAGCCAAAGGTACTGATATTAATAAGATCGATGCCAAAGATAGCCTCATAAATGGCAGATTTAAAAGAGCTCGTCTATATTACCAGCTTAAGATGTTTGAACAAGCTCAAAGGGATCTAAATGAGTTGTTGAAGACAAATCCTGAAAATGCTAAAGCTCATTTCTATTTAGGAAAAATTTTGAGTAAACAAGATCCACATCAGGAAGCCTTTATCCATTTTGAACAGGTGATAACCCATAATGATGATTCCTTTCTATCATGAAATGCTTTATTAGAGATAGCAAAGTTGAGAATCAAAGAGAAGGATTTCTATGAAGCACACTATAGTCTTAAACGAATAGGATTATTTAACTTCAAATCACAGAAATTAACCCAATATCAGACCTTCACAGAAGGAGTCTTATATTTAATCAAACGAAAGATAAAGAAGGGGATTCAACTATTGTCTTCACTTGAAGTTACTTCGAACACTAGGACTTCAAGCTCAGCTACTACTTTGAAGCCGAAGATGCGAGAGCCCACTATCGCATCTAGCTCGACTATAAACTGTGAGAACTCTGAAAAAGACGGTCTAGACTCCTTCCTAAAGCCTTTGGTCTACATCTATCGTGCATATGGTTATATTTCTATTGAGAGTTACGAGAAAGCTATTGCTGATTTAATCTCTGGTGCAAAGCTGACAAAGCTGGACTTATGTAGCCAGTACAACAAGTTATTAGCCACTGGGTTCAGCAAGCTGAACAAGAGCGCCTTCACTGATGCGCAGTCTATATTTAAGAAAGCGTCCTTTGGAGACTTTAGCAAGAATAAGGAGCCTTATTTGCTACAGCTGATTTCGATGATCAAGTCTGTATCTTCCAGTGAGGCTAGCATTGATGTCATCAATGTGGATCTTCCTAAGAAGAGAAAAGCTATTGAGAGTTGTATTGAGGTGGCCAATGAGGCGATTACGAAAAACCCAGATGATCTTTCTTTGTATTATCATAGAGGTCTGCTTCTGTTCTATTTACATCAATTCTTTGATGCTTTCTTAGACTTTGATTATATTGTGGAGAAGGAAGAAGAGCCTAATAGTAAATATTATCTTGCTAGAGGTAAATGATATGCTTGTTTAAGTATGTTTCCAGAAGCTGTCAAAGATCTTACAGCTGCCATCACTCTTGATGAAGAATGTCTTGATGCTTACCTCAATAGAGGTAAATGTGCCTACCTCCTCGGTGACACTCCTCTCTCCTTCCTTGACTTCCAGAAACTCATCATGGTCGAGCCCAAGAACCCACTTGTGCATGTCTACGCTGGTAACCTCCTGATGACCACTGGCTCTTACGATGATGCTGCAAAAGCGTTCTCGAATGCAGACCAAGTCAAGAAGTGTGCTCTCGCAATATACCAGAGAGCTCGTTGCAACATTGCACTCTCCAACATTGGTGATGCCATGAACGACCTTGCGACTGTGATCGAGCTGAACCCACACGACAAAATTGCATTTACTGATAAAGAGTGCTTGTATGCAGTCACCAGTGCCATGAAAGTGCTCAAGCAAAGTCTGGATGTTGAAGAACAGAAACTCGAAGTTGCCAAGCTCTGAAACATCCTGACAAAGCTGACCAACAAAGACTACAACAACAACGATGTCAAGAGCAAGAACATGTCAACAAGGACACACGCCCAGATCATCCCGAATGTCAGACGAATCAAAGTCGAGAAACTCAGAATTGTCGACTACATGAAGAAGAAAGAGAAAGACAAGTACATTGCTGATGTCAAAGATGTCAAGGTCGAACACACCAGAGACTACACAGAGCCCAGCAGCCGCCATAAGACACTGGCTGAATCGATCACACCTTTCAGCTACTACAAAGAAAACATTTTCAGTGAAGAAGACTTCTTCTTGTACAGAGCCATTTTGCTGTTCTACTCTGGCCAGTACGACCGAGCTCGTAAAGACTTCGAAGTGTCTCTGCACAAGAAAGAAGCCAATAAAGACGACAACGACAACTCCGACACTGAGAGCGAGACCAGCAACCAGACAGATCTGTCCGATGTGGGGCTGTGATCGCTGAATGTGCACGAGTCGAAGTACAACCAGGCGTTGTGTCATCTGATGCTGAAGGAGTACAGGGAAGCGCTGGAGATATTTGACGAGTTGATATCGAAAGGACCAGACAAGTATGTAAAGTCACTATATCTGATAAGAGGACTTATTTATCAACAAAATGGTGAAGGAAACAAATCAAAATTCGATTTCAACAAAGCTTTCGATGAAGACCAAGAAACTGCTATAAAATACTTCGATGACAACAAGCATGTGACTATTCACCCATTCCCTGTTTCCAACCGATTATGCTCAAATTTCCCAAATGTCAAGTTGACGATCGATAAAAATCATCCTGCTATCCTAACAAAGCCTTCTTTTTCCTTTCCGTTCATTAAGCCGCCGAACATGATTCCAAATGTGGATGAAAGAGTCCTCACGAAGGAATTTGACATCTCTGAATTCTCTCTAAACAAGCCTGAGGCTCCTTGGATCAACCGCTGAGAGTATGGAATTCAGTTCACAGACCAGATCCAGTACGATGAGTTTAAGATTGAAGAGAGCATTCAGCTTAAAAATGAGAAGGAAAGTACCAAATCTGATAAGGATGAGTACTCCAGCCGGCTACCTATCTCTGTCTCTGAGAAGATCAGGAAGCCTTTCGACTTCTTTGAAGAAGATAGTGATAGCAATTAGACTACCTTGGTCAATAATTTTCAATATTTATGTATTGATTAGGGGTTTTGGGGTTTTGGGGTTTTGGGGTTTTGGGG